GGACCTTCACCGAGCAGCGCACTCTCGGAATTCCGAACTTCAGCACGAAGTTTGCCTAAAATCACAATCACTACACTCATTTTAAATAAATAAAAGTTTTGTAACTCCCATACCGGGTCCGGCAGCGGTAGCGTCGACGTCAAAAACATTCTGCTGACCTAGGCGCAGCAAGAATGAACCATCACGATCCATGTCTAGATCGTTCACCACCACTTTTGATGGATCGACGACACGTACCGTAAACGGACTTCCTGTAATGCAACGTTGACTTTCTGCTTAGCAAATTAATCACAGTTGATGCATATACCGGCAATTGGTTTGTTATTGAAGTCGATATGTACAATGTGAGCACCAACTTCCTCTGGCGAAAACACCACCTCAGATGTGCCGTTGGGTCGCCGCATTACTTTATGCCGAACCTTAAATATCACAGTTGAGCGACACTAGCATTACGAATAATTTGACGGCCAATTACCTTGTTATCCCTGGGTCCAACAACATTCACTTTCAGACCACCGTTACTACCCTTGGGATCGAAGATGAGGCTGGCTGGCTCGTCGATTTTAATAGAATGATCAATAGCTGCTCCGTAAACACTAGGCTGCTGTTGCTCGGATACAACTATGGTTTGTGGATAACCTGAAATAACCAAATACCTTATATCCCATCTACATCTTCGACCTTCATTACCAAAGGATCAGAAGATCAAATTAGTTTAACCTTGGTTAGTAGAACTCACCAGGTATCTGGAATCCTGCAACTTTTACGTTCACTTTATGTGGTCCCGTCTGATTTGGCAGGAACGTAGCTCGGTCCTCTCCCCCGGGTGATTTCAACATTTCAACTTTTAAAGGCGTGCCCGAGGGATCGGTAACCTCAATGGTAAGATCACCCGCTCCCGCTTGACGACGATCAACTGAAAGGGTCATTTTGATTGTTCAAAAGTGCGAAGTGCTGTTACATAGCTATTTACCGTTGATCACAGTCGCATGGCGTAAGAGGAGTGAATCGGAAAGGCCTCTGACACGTACTTTCTTAGGATCAACAACCTCACATTTGAAAGGTGAACCGACTACCGGGACGTCACCGAATGTCACTTCGATGTTGTGAGTTCCTAAAGAAGAACTACATCCTACTTGAAAATTCTGCGCAACTGACTCAATCGTCTTACCAGTTTGTTCAGGAGTGAATTCAACCCAATAGCTATCATCCTGCTGTCGGTAGCATCGCACTGGCAATGGACCACCATTAGGATCTATAAAGCAGAATCTTAGGATACCACCGTTCATTTCATATACCCGCCCCGACACAGAAAACACAGAAATCACACACAAAAACATGCAAGATCT